GGAATGGTACTAGAGCCTAAATTGTGAGAATATGACAGTGGAAGCACAAGATTTCTTTGTGGGATCTCGGCATGGCAAATAAGCCTCCAGCGATTTCCCTTTATCCAGAATACAGGATGGGGAAAAACTGTTTACCAAACTGCACTGGAGGAATGACTATAGAAGATCAGAATAATAAACTTGACTTGATCGGTTAAAACCTTGTTAGTTGATCCACCCCTCCGATGCATGTTAAGCCCGATCTGGTTTTCAAATTTTCTGTATTTTGTTTGTTTTATTGGAGTTTATCCCAGATGTTTTTTGTCATTGGAATTACCCTCTTGAATTTTTGTTGTATTATTTTCTTGTTTTTGTTGTATGATTTTCAGTATGTGAAACTCAGGGTTGATGAACCTATCGAGACAAGTAGAATAAGGGTTTCTCGGGAGTACAGTGGTTGAGGGGTATGGGGGGGGTGAGATAGTTAAGGTTTATTGTGCCAACCTGGCCGATAAACACGTGGGGTTAATTGAAGGGCAGAAAGATAAAATGGCTTGGTGCGCCTTGCCTATTTTGGTTCTCGGGTCCCTTGCTCTCTGATGGTTGGACCAGGGTGCATCTGCCTTTACCAGTTCCCTGCTTCAGCTGGCAAGGCTCACTTCCTGCTAGACATCCCTGAGGAGAAGCCACATGGACCTACCCTGATGCAGCCCTGGGTGCTGGAGCAGCCGCGTGGAGCCCCTCTGCCAGCGCTCAGATACTTACATGCTCACTGATTTGGCTTTCCTCCTGCGGTTGGCGCCATTGTGTGTGTGTTGTGAGATTGAGGAGGGCTTTGTAGATTGGTATTGGCCACATGGGCTAATGTTGACTTAAGGCTTGGACAGCACTGGATTGGGGTGCTTTCTTAATGTACACTTAACCCTATATAAAACACTCATATACATATGAGTTTCTGTGGATCTGTTTCTCTAGTCTATCCAGACTAACACATGGGGTAAAAGGGAGCTGATATTAAGGAGTTTAAGGGAGAGAATATTTTAAAACTGATTGTGTAGCAATTGTACAATACTGCTTGATGTGATTGAACAAAGGATTGATTACATTTGTATTAACTCCCAGTAAAATGATTTTTTTAAAGTGACAAACGATAGTACTGAAGTAGAGTTATTCCATGTTTTTGTTGTTATGCTTTACTTATATGTGATTTTAAAAAGAGTTCCAAAGGTCTTGGTGTAAATAATGTGTACATGGCAGATTTAGCACTGGTCTAAAACGAGCAGCAATTTTCTATTTTAAAAGTATTTTTTCAATGCCTACATTGCTGTTAATGGAAATTTCACTAACTCTAAGTATTATTATCTTAACTATGTGGAACTTGAGGGAGCCAGTGCCTCAGTGTTACCTCTCAACTTAATTGTTTCCCCACCTAATGTCTTAATAACTATGGAGTGTTGCTGATTTATTCATGCTATTGTTTAAGGCATGGTTTAAAACTCAGTATAGTAAAACATCCTTATGTTTCATGTCACTTGATTTCAAATTATAACTGCAGTTATGTCATTTTGAAAATGGAGTGTAATGCCAACTTGAGTGGTTAAATGCATCTGACTGTGTCTAGTTTGTGAAAGTTATTTTATTTACCTAGCCTCCTACTTTGAGAGTTGTTTTTATCTAAGTCATGTATAAGGGTACGTCAAGAAGTATTGCTACAAAATCACTGAGACCTTTATTCAGCAAAAATAAAAATGTGAAGCTATTGTTTTTTTCTCATCTGTATAGCATTTCAATCTTTCAACCCCTTTCCCCAAGGGAATCCACACCACGCCTAATCCCTTTCAATGTTCTTTGAATTTAGGGAACAAAAAACTGAAAAGGCAAAATCAGGGTTACAAGGTTGATCAAGTATAATTTCCCAATTAAATTCTTGTTACCCTTGAAGAATGAGCAAGTGCATTGTCAAGATGTGAACACCCTTCATCTCAACTTTCCTGACCTTTTCTCTCTCTCACCAACACAGTTTTCTGTTTTTTTAAACAACTTCTTAATAAGCCTCATGATACAAGTCTTCTAGGAAATTAATATAAAGACAGACACTAAGGAGACTATGACCAGTGTGTTTGATTGAAAGAACTTGTTTGTAGCCATTGCTGACCATAGAGATTTTGTTTGAAATAAACCCATTCATATATGTTACTAGCACTACTCTTTTGCCTTCGTACTGTCTGTGTTAGCAGCAAGCCTTTGTCAAGAGAATGAGCTAGTTAGTGATGCCGCCTTCTTGAGAGTGCTTTCTCAAGAACAGTAGTTCACTTTTTTCCTGCCTCTTTTACCAGATAAACCAAATTAGAAATAACCGACTTTGTTCTGTAGAGCAAATAACTATGGAACTTTTGTTCTACTCTGTCCTATAAGGTCAACAAGTATCAAAATTGAATAAATGGCAGAAGGTTTTGAGGTTGTGTATCTTCTAAAACTAGGATAATGTCCATTGCTGCCAAGTTGATTGCAGCTCATATTACAGAACTGTCCCATAGGATTTCCAAAGCTGTACTCTTAATAGGAGCAGACTGCCTAGTGGGGTCAAGCTGCTAATTTTGTATGGCTTCCTTCACTAAGCATGCCTCAAGGTTTTCCCATAGTGTAGTATATGACCTTTATTACTTTTTATGGCTGGATCGTATTCTATTACAGTGACCCTATAGGACAAAGAAAGGCCCAAGTGAGTTCTGAGACGGCAGCTCTTTATGCAGTTAGAATGCCCTATCTTTCTCCCTCAGAGCAACTTGTGGCTTAGAACTACTGACCATGTGATCAGCAACCCAACACATAATCACTATGCCACCAGGACTTCTTGTTCAAATTTTACAGCTCTTTGATTTTGTTACCCATTTTTCAGATAGCAAACTGAGATAAGAGGTCAAATGAGTTGTAAAGCCAGTATTCAAACACAAGCTGTCTTGCCTCAGAGTCCCACCATGTTAAATTTCTCTTCCCTTTCCATGGGGTATAGCCCTATGCAAAACTCCTGAAAAAAGATATTGTTTCCTGTTTTGCAAGAAATATAAATGTATACAGAAATTTGGGTTCTATGGAGAAAAATGGAGACCAGTGGGCTATAAGGCTGTACGAGTTAGGTTTGACCAAATTATACAGTGCTTTCTTGGGCATATTAAAGGTTTTAACGTTTTAAGGGATTTATGTGAATGCTTCAGATTTAAAAGGGATTTATGTGAATGACACCCCACCACCACCCCCAGTTTGATACGATTATAGCACACACAGAGGGGTGTTTACCAGGAAACTAATGAAACTTAAGCTTCAGGATTCCTAACTTTCATAGGCCCTGTGAGGTATAGAAATTGTGAATTACAGAGTGGTTCTAGGTGAATAAAGGAAGCCATTTTGCAGCCACCCAACCTTTCTAGTAAATTATTAAAGAAAAAGATCCTTAAAACCTGAGTCCAATTGGACCTCTACTCAAGTACTCCCTCAATGCAAGAATACTTTCCTCTATTAAATTGGCATTCTATGATGCTCACCTTCCCGACACAACCGCTGAAGACAAAGGGGATGAATAAGCAAATGTGAAGAAAGCTGATGGTGCCCGGCTATCAAAAAGTATAGCATCTGGGGTCTTAAAGGCATGAAGGTAATCAAGCGACCATCTAGCTCAGAAGCAACAAAGCCCACAGGGAAGAAGCACACCAGCCTGTGTGATCACGAGGTGTCGAAGGGATCACTGAAGACAAATGGGTGCATAAGCAAATGTGGCGAAGAAAGCTGATGGTGCCTGGCGATCAAAAAGTATAGCATCTGGGGTCTTAAAGGCATGAAGGTAATCAAGCGACCATCAAGCTCAGAAGCAACAAAGCCCACAGGGAAGAAGCACACCAGCCTATGTGATCATGAGGTATCGAAGGGATCAGATATAAGGCATCATCAGAACAAAAAATATTATCATAGTGAATGATGGGGGGAGTGCGGAGTGGAGACCCAAAGCCCATTAGTAGGCCACTGGAGATCCCCTTGCAGAGGGGTCTCGGGGAGGAGACGAACCAGTCAGGGTACGATGTAGCAACGATGAAATATACAACTTTCCTCTAGTTCCTAAATGCTTCCTCCCTGCCTCCACTATCATGATCCGAATTCTACCTTGCAAGTCTGGCTAGACCAGAGGATGTACACTGGTACAGATAGCAACTGGAAATACAGGGAATCCAGGGCGGATGATTCTTTCAGGACCAGTGGTGTGAGTGGAGATACTGGGAGGTAAAGGGAGAGTGGGCTGGAAAGAGAGAACCGATTACAAGGATCTATATGTGACTTCCTCCCTGGGGGACGGACAACCAAGAAGTGGGTGGAGGGAGACGTCCGATAGTGCAAGATATGACAAAGTAATTATAAATTATCAAGGGCTCATGAGGGAGAGGGGAGCGGAGAGGGAGGGGGAAATGAGAACCTAATGCGGGGGGCTTAAGTGGAGAGCAGATGTTTTGAGAATGATGAGGGCAATGAATGTACAAATGCGCTTTACACAATTGATGTATGTATGGATTGTGATAAGAGTTGTATGAGCCCTTAATAAAACGATTTAAAAAAAAAAAACCAAGTCCACTCCTTTCAACTTCTCTCATTTCATACAATTAATTTGTGAATAGGGTCCCTGAGGAGGATGACTGAGAATTGTTATCTTAAGGCAAGTTGCCAGAGTCAGAAGACTCTGGAAAGGACTTAAACTTGATAGAAGCTGGTAAATCATTAGGCAGTACTGCAAACTGGGTAATAACAGATCGGTTAGAGAATAGGAAACACTTGAGGGGGGAAGGCTACCAAACTAAAATTATGGAAACATGAGGAGATTACTGTTTTGATTAATAAAAGATTTGTTGATAAAAGTTCATCGTTTTCAGCTTAAGGCCATTTATATAGCCATAGCATGCATACATTTTGAAATTATATTTTATAAATAGGGAAACTAGTTGAAAACCTAATACGCAAATTTTATTCTTTGTTTCTAGGCGCCTGATCACAGATTCAAAAGTTAAATTAAAGTATCAGCATTTAATAACCAATAGCTTTGTAGAGGTAAGTGTATTCTGTTAATACAGAGTTTTGTTTGTTAATCCAAATATTACTGTTATTGTACAATGTACTCTTGACCATAAAGGACACCTTTACCATAAACTTAGGTTATAGGTTTTGTTTTTGAAATATACTCAAACATCTTTATTTTCAAAGGAATGTGGCAAACCAACAAATAACCTATCTTTTCAGAGATCTGGCTAATAAATTTATTTTTATATATTCTTTATTCCTAATGGGGAATTATAGCAGTCGTGTAATTTTCAATCATGGGGGCTAGGGGGCCTGTTACTACTGCCTTGCTTGTTTTAGGGTTTTACAGCCAGTAAAGAGCATTGTAAACTTTTATTCAATTCACCATTAAAAGTTTTTTTATAAACAAAGCACTGCATTTACTAGTTTTTGTGAGGTTTCATTATATCAGAGCAGAGTGGCCAACCTCTGCCTTTCCGATTTTGCATACCCATGCCCATTCCTTCTACGATTGTTTTGCATTACAGTAGCAGAGTTGAGCAATTGCTACAGAGACAGTATTTGCCAACTTATGTTAGAAGGACATCATGTAACTTTATATTTCAATCCTATAAAGTAATTTTTATTTCTGTTAAGGATTCAACTGAAGGCTTCAGATCTGGACAACATATTTTAGAACTTGTGGTTATTTTAGCTAGATAATGGAAATTTGAGCTCTGGGCCAAAGTGTTAGGTAAAGTTATGCTAGGTTCTGTAATAAAAAAACTAACAGATTTGTATCTCCCTTCGTGATGCTAAATAATTTTAAAAGTAACTGTTTGATTAAAATTATGGTAAATTCTGTAAAGGAACTATATAGGGTTTTGTGAGAATACTGTTAGGACTCCTTATCTAACCTGTTGTGGTCAATTGTCAGGGAAGGCCATTTTGAGTATTGTTAACACTTTTGACAGTATATTTAAATTGAGCAAAATAATTTGAAATGCAATTTGGACCTATGATGTAGGAAATGACTTTGGTTCTTAGTATACTTGCTTTCTTGCATCTCAAATAGAACCACATGCAAATTAATGGTTACATAATGGTTAATTAACTTATACTTTAATTTCTTAGTGTCATTCGGAAGATAAAACCAGCTACATCATATTTTTATTTCTTATGCAAACATGTTCTTAAGATATCTCTACTCTCGGCATAATAATGCATCCAAAATCATTCCTGTAAAAGACTTTTTAAGTTTTGTTGGCAAGTTTTGATGCTTTTGACACCATCATCTCCTTACCTCTCAAGAAATTCCTCTGCCTTGCATTAGAGGAGCAATATAAATTACTGCTTGATATCCTAGAGATAAAAATTAACCAGCACCAAGATTTAATTTGCTGTCATTTTTATTTTCTAAATTGTGTTTCAGTGCAATCGACTGTTAAAGTGGTGCCCTGCCCCAGATTGCCACCATGTTGTTAAAGTCCAATATCCTGATGCTAAACCTGTTCGCTGCAAATGTGGGCGCCAGTTTTGGTAAGCAATTGATTTCTTCAATTGGAATTGGGTACACTTAGTTAGTATTTCTATTGCTGCTAGTTATTCACAACAGTAAAATAGTAGGGGGAAAAATGCTTACTTCAGACAGAAACGTGAGTAATGTTGGTTTAAAATAGTGTATATTTCTTTTCATTATGAATTGAATGACAATATCACTGAATTGTACCCATAGAGATTGTTAAATTGTGCATATTCTCAACTATAAAAATAGCTAAATTATTTTTTAATTGGTGAAAAGTCTATGTCTTGTACAATTTTTAGCCTTGCTTCTTTGACTTGGGAATGTATTTCCTTGTGGGGAGGAAAAATACAGCTATCTGTAAGCAACTTCCACATCTGGGACAAGAACTCAGTCCTTCTCACTTCTGGCCAAGTGCTATGTTACCACATCACATTTGGTTCTCATAGCTTTTGCTTTCCTTTCAAATTATCTTAGAAAAGTAAAATTATATTTTATGTTATATTTATGTTTATATTTATGTCATAAAAGTATTTTTGGTTGTTGTTAGGCCCCCCCCCCCCCCAATTTTCTTACTTTTGACAATCTCTCCAAACATCTACAGAATTAGAAGAAACATCATTTAAGATAAATATTCCATCAAAAGACAGATAACGTTACTGAAATTAAGTATTGTGATGAATTACTGTTTCAGAAGAAGTAGATAGTAGAGTCTGATTGTTTCCATACCTACTTTAAAATATATTTTTAGTATGAAGCTTTGCAGAGATACAAAGAATAACAAAACAGTGAGGAAAACGTAGGAATTTACAACCAGCTTAAAATTGTCTTTATTAAGAAAAACATTGGCATCCTTACATTTGAAATTCATTGGTTCTTTGCTCCATCCCATCCACTACCTATCTTTCTAGAAAAATCATTATTAGGACTTTATTTAAATCATTAGTTACTCTTTTGTCCAAAGGATCTGTGACATTCCCAAATTACTTCCAGAATCTCCGAATGACTACTAGCCAAAATGTTTGCAGTTCAAACCCAGCACAAGGGGCCCTCTTGAAAACCGGATGAAGACATTGTACTCTGTATACACAGTATTGTTCCGAGTCAGAGTCAACTTGAAGGCAGCTGGTTTGGTGTAGGTTTAGAGAACATTTAGTCCTAGTCCCTTTTAATTGTTTTTGTAAACCATGACTGGTACCAGTTTTCATTATTTATGTAGCTTTTGCAAAAATGACCTTATTTGCTTTCTACATAGTTTATTCTATGTTTATATTAAGCTTACCCTTCAAAGTCAGACTCTTCGTTTGAGTATTAAATAGAAGATTTTATATACACTGGTGAAGCATTGGTTGAAATTTAAGTTGTAAATATCATTGGGACACCTTAGCAACAATTATTAATGAGAATGGTTTTTCACTTGGCTTTCAATTAGGATGATTACAGCAAGGAACTATAGGTGTAAAAACTATCAGCAATACATGCCTATATATATTCATGTAATTTGTTGTTTTCTCTGTTTGGTAGTTGTTTAGATATTTATTATGAAATCATTGTTAAGATATCTTTGTCTTCATATTTTTATAGTTATTTGTTTCATGTATATTACGTAACCACTGCTTACTTGGCAAAATGCTAAATACTAGGTACTTCACAATAGAATAAAGCAGAAATTATTCCTGCCCTTGTATTTGCCTGTCACTAGAAATTGGAGGAGTTTGATGGTAAAAATCTTACCTTCGATTCTGAAGGCCCAAGCTTTGATTCCTGGCCAGTGCAACTCTAGCACATGCATCACTGGAGATTTACCAGTTAACTCTGAAGCTGAACAGCATTTTGGCACTTCTTGGCTAAGGCAAACTAGGAAGAAATATCTGGCAATCTCATAAAATCAGACAAAACCCTACGAATCACAAAGATGTTATTCCAACGTGTGCGGGTGGGGTCACAATGAGTCAGGATAAACTTAACTGCAGAATTTGGTGGGAAAACTGGAAATATAAATGAGAAAATATTTTGTTTCTTTATTCACTTAAAATAGGTAGAACTTACTCCCTTTAACTTTGTGTCACTTAACAGCTTTAACTGTGGAGAAAACTGGCATGATCCTGTAAAATGTAAGGTGAGTTTCTCTGACATTTTTCATCATGACTAAAAAGAACAACCCATGATTTTATTTATCCATTAGGAGATGAGGGTGTGTACGTGTGTGTACATGCGTGTGCATGTGACAGAGGGTTTCAGAGAGCATTGCTTAGGAGAAGAAGAAGAAAATTAAGTCCAGCTCCAGACTATCAGGATGATGAGGGTGACAAGCGCCTCCCTTTGCAGGTTTCACTGTGTGGTGAACTGAGAAACCAACCTGGGCTGATTGCCAACTCTAGTTCCCCATTTTGTTTTGGTTAATTTTACATACTGATACACTATATGTGAGAAGTGCATCCTTTCCCTGGTTTGAGATAAGGTGATAATCTTGGTGTTTGACTTCTACATTTAAATTTGTAGCTATGTGCTGAAGTAATTTGTCATCCTTTACATAAGCCTCTGGATGTTGTTTTCAAACAGTGGTTAAAGAAGTGGATTAAAAAGTGTGATGATGACAGTGAAACCTCCAATTGGATTGCAGCCAATACAAAGGTTGGTATTTTCCTTCAACAATTCTTGCTAAGGATAGATGCATCTGCATTGGCAAAAGCTGTAATTTGACCTAATTAAAGACCTTATTTTTACCTTTCTGTCCTTTAAGCTTTAAAAAAATTATTATCCAATAATAATTACCTTTCCCTTATTGGGGTTGATAACATTTTTAAAATACGGGATTTGATAATGCTTTCATATTACTGTTTTTGGCTTCCTTGTATTATACAAATGTACTCTTGAGTTTGCTCCCCCTAGCTTGATTCTAAGAAGCCTTGGTGGTGCAGTGGGTTAAGTATTCAACTGTTCACCAAAACCTGGATGATAATAGCTCACTCGCCATTCTGTGGGAGAATGAAAGGGAGGTTTTCTTTGTAAAGATGACACCCTTGGAAACTCCACCTGGCCGTGCTCATCTATCCTTACAGGGTCTCTGTGAGTTAGAATCCCTGATGGCATTGCGCTTTTAGCTGGGTACTATTAGGCTAATTTACATTTCTGCCTTGAAAACTCCCCAGGCTTTTACCTTTTTTAGGAGTCATTCATTTCTTTAGGGATTTGATTTCTCTAGAGAAGAGCAGCTAAACTACTGGTAAGTTTTTATTATGATACTGTATGATAAGTAACAAGACTATTTCCACTTTTATACGTCAGCTTTTAAAATACACTTTATTAAGAAACTTGAGTCCTAAGAAATAGAAGTCTCAGGGCGGCGTAAGTACCTCTGACTGTATGTGTGTTTGTTTTGAACTACATCACTTTTGATGCTAGTTGCAAAATGTAAGCTCTCTATGACTTTGAACTGCTTCCTTAACCATAGGTGGAGGTTCAGAAAGATTTCTTTAGCGCGCTACTTTTCTATCACTAATGATAAAGAAGCATTTGAATTCCAACTTCATGGTCCTCAGCCCATCTCTTCATACAAAGTAATATAAACTAACCTTTTAAATGAGCAGTTCAAATTCACACCTTATTTACATAGGAAGTAGCTTTGGTGATGAATGATAGACTTGGTTCATGGACTATTTTAAGTAACATAATGATAGAAGTTGCTGTTCATACCATTTTGCTTTTTAAAACCTATCATGATTAGCATAACTCATGCCACTCAGATAAACATAAAACCCCAAACTTTGCTAGACAAAATAGCTGTCATGAAAGCAGATGTTTCCCTTTTTTATTGCTATTTTATATTGTTCATTAAAGTCCCTTAAATAGCCTCTGTAAAGCTTGGGTATTTTTTATTTCATGTGGAAAGTTAATGACCCTGGAAGAATATCTATTTATAAGAGCAAGTTTAGCTATTTGAAAGTTTGAGGATGACAACAAAGATTTTGAGAGGTTTTACAATTTTTTATTACTATTAGCTCCTTAAACAGATTTATAGCTATTTGAAAGTAGCCTAACGTATTAGGAGTTTAATACTATCTGGTTAATAATCCAGAAATGTAAAGCAAATATTTTTTTTATTTTTTTTTATGATGGAATTTAAAAATTGGGAAAATACCTGGATGTTATATCAGCTATTTTAAATTATTAATAATTTGTGGTCAAGATAGTAGTTTTCCACAGAGTGCCAAATTTTGTAAATAACAATAGATGATGCTACACCCCCCCGTTTGGGGTTATAAACATATAAATACAGCAAAAAAAATACAAGCTGTATGTGTTATATATACTTTTAATGAAAACAGTGAGTGGTTTTAATTTTCTAGATATTTCAACAAGAATAAAGTATATACCTAACGGGCAATAACTTTGACCCGTCAGCCTTCAGGAAAATGATGAGACTTAGAAATAACACAATGTAATTCAATCCCTTTAGCACAGTTGTAAATGGGCTACAAAGAAATTAAAAACATTAGACATGGTGACATTTGAGAAATTAGGTAGACATAGGAAGAATTTACCAATCAAGATCTGATCTGCTTGCTGGCTAGATAATTTAGCTAGGATTGTTTACTCTCATCTACTTCTTATGTGACTTTGGACTGATTTCTTATCTCTTTCTACCTTTAGTTTACTTACCTGATAAATTGCAACAGAAATAGTACTACTATATGGATTATAAGTTGAAGCATATAAAACATTGAGATCAGTACACAGAACATAGTAAATGCTCAGTTACTGCCTAGCTTACACAAAAGAGTATATTTACATGAACTATTAATATGCAAAAAAACGTGAGGGTGTCTGCTTCTATACTTACAGTCTTAGAACCTTTGTATAGGTTTATTGTGAGTCAGAGTTGACTTGATGCCAGGGGGGTTGGGTATTATTAATAGAAAAGGGCTTCAAAAAGTTCCTAATTCAAACACTTGAATTAAAAGAGAATGGGATTTTTCCATGAACTTTTTGAAGCCCCCTCATGTATGATAAAAAGTACTTGTAGTGTTTCTGGTCCCCCAACCAGACTAAAAAGCCCTTATAAGTTGTACACTTAAAAAGCCAGTGATAATAACAATGATAACAGCTCATTTTTAATAATGTTGTATTAAGTGTTAAGACACTGTTCTAAGGGATTTACATGTATTCCAATAAATATGATAAATGAGAATTAATTGAATCTAGCACTGGCTTCTCCTCAGTGGTGTGATACAACCTAGTGTAGCATTGACACCAACTTTATAGTTTCTCTTCATAGGAATGCCCCAAATGCCATGTCACAATTGAGAAGGATGGCGGTTGTAATCACATGGTCTGTCGTAACCAGAACTGTAAAGCAGAGTTTTGCTGGGTGTGTCTTGGCCCTTGGGAACCACATGGATCTGCCTGGTAGGTTGGGGAAATGAGGGGAAGAATATTTTCACCTAAGTCTGCTGGGTGCTGAGTAATATAAATAAGCCTTCTGCCTCATAAAGACCACCATCTAACTTGAGAGAGATGGCACATAAATATGATGGGGCTTCTAAAAGTTCATGGAGAAATGAAAACTTTCCAAACTTGTTAAAGCCCCCTTGTACAGTGTGTGATCATTGTTATCAGAGAAGTAGATGCAAAGTATGCAGAAATAAGGGTTAACTAGGTATTCTTCACAGAAGATGTTAACAGTTGCGAAACAAGGAACAATTGTTTAGTTGAAAAAGTGGTGGGAAATAAATTCGGGGAAAAGCAGCATGAACAAAAAGTACAGTGATGTGGAAGTATGTTTTCTGTTCTAAGGTTTATGCTCTAGGCAAAAGTGGAAAACTAACCATCTTTGGACAGAACCTCACCTACAGATGTGTTTTATTTACTTGGCACATCACTCAAGACTAAAATTTGGGAATTTACCTTTCAGATTCAGATTTTTTTCCCCCTTTGAATGGGTCCTGCATTCCTGTTTGGCAGTCACCAACTGAGTGGCAGCCCTTTAGATGGGGCTTTATTTTCCAATTTGATATGTTTCCCTAGAACTGAAGCTTAATGCCATTTGTATTTATCATAAATGCGGTTAGATAAGCAACTTTGAGAAAGCTCTGTATTACATGCTTTATATACATTGTCTTATAGTACTGGCTGGTCTGCATAGGATAGGAAGGGAAGAGATTGCAGAATCTAAGATAAGATCAAAATAATCTGAATTTAAGATAATGGCAAATCTTCCCTTTATGTTTTACTGGATATATGATAGAGAAGAGGGATTACTTTTCTTGAATTAAGGGATTACTTCTTGAATTATTTCTGAATGGGTCAGAATAGACTAGGTAAGTGAATGTACACTAGTAGAGCCAAGAAAGAGTGTTTGAGATTTAGCTGGACATGTAACCTAGATTTTAAGAAGTCCAATTGGGGGAATAGAGTATTCCTAAATACTAAATTCACCATATAAACAAGTTTCATGGGGAGGGATGAGATTAGGAAAATGTTATTTAAAGGAAGATGTTGAGTAAAGGCATCTCTGAGAACATCTCAGATTTTAAATACTATACGTTGCATTAGAATCATATAATTAGAATCATAGCTTGCTTTTCTTCTGAAATCTAAAACTACCTTTAAACCCTCAAAAGAAGCATTTGAAGTAGCGTCAGTCATCTGAGTGGGAAGCATAGGTGAGCCCTGTGCTGTAAGACTCATTAATGGGTCTCCTGTGGAAAGCAGATGTGTTGAGAATGATGATGGCAGCAAATGTGCTTGACACGATGTATGTATGGACTGTGATAAGTGTTGTATGAGCCCCTAAGACAATGATTTAAACAAAGATTAATATTAATGTTGCATGGAAGCCTAGAATGAGCTCAGGTTTATTTATAAAAGATATTGTCTTCAAAAAATATTTATGAAATAACTTCAGAAATCAAAAGGAAAGTTGTTAAAGCTGTATCAGATAGAAAGAAGAGATTGAGAAAGAGAAATGTTAATAGTGGACCAGTAGGTGGTAATTTCTATTTTTGTCAGTGAGAATGATTATTTAATTGTACTAGGTTGAGAGTAATTATTGGTACAAAAGAACTATAAACTCAGTCTGGGTGAAAATTAATAATCTGACGCGGTTGAAATGTGGTATGGCGTACTTTAACAATGTAACATTAAATGATGGTTGACGAACATGGCTAATGTAATTGGTATTACTGAATTATAGATATAGAAAACATTGAATAAGATGAGATCACTGAGCCCGTATTGGTTATTTATGAGTGATAATAGAAATAGGTACCAAAAGCCTAGAGACAGATAAAATGTAATTTAAAGGTTCCATTCCACTAACTTGATGTGGGCCACAGAACTTAATCCTCTCTTGGAAAATCCCAAAATTAAATGATCATGGGGATGGTGGATCAAGGAATATGCTCTAAATTTCAGCAAGGTATTTCAACATGAACTGAAAAGTTTATGACCTAGGCTTTGAATACAAGCAGGGATGTTTAGAATTAATTGATTGACCAAATGGAAAACAGCTAAGTGAATTCATAACTTCTTTATGGAAAAACTTTAAAGGTCTGTTAAAATTCTGTGTCCTAGTTTTTTTAATTACTATTATTCATGCATTAACTACTGTTTTCTTGTTCTATTTTGTTGATAACTTGCTTGAATTAATTTAAGAATCTTAAGTACGTTTTGGGTAACATCAAAAGGTGATGTTGAATATCTTGACCATTAAAATCCTGAAGAATTTGACAAGCTAGAAAAGTGGTTTAATTTAGCAAGATCTAAGTTAAATTCAAATGTTTTCCTTTAGATCCCAAAAGATTACTGTTAAAAGACTCTGAAATTATGACTTAATGGCCTACACATACTGTACTTATTGATTAAAAAAGGGAACCCTAATTGGAAGGCAAGTAAAAAAAATCCCACTCTGAGGCTACCCCTGTGACTCTTAAGAATGTAACTTAATTGAATAAAATGATTTCTATTAATCTCTATTAATCTAAAGCTTCATCTTATTGAGAATAACAGATGTTTATTAAAGTGATTGAAGATACTGTGACATTACATGTCAAGCATATAGTAAGCACGTAATAAATGTAGGCCCCCATTTAAAAAAAAGTAAAAATCTCCAAGCCAGAAAACTGCCAGTTGTATCCATCTCTACTTTGAGGTTGCTTCTTTGTGCACTTTCTATTCCCAATACTAAAAATATGTATGTCATTCAAAATGACTTTTAAGAACTTTAATAAATAACATTAAAGTAAATATCAGGGTGTCTACGGGTTCTCTATCATTTACAAAGGAATAGATAGGAATGTGGGTAACTTCAAAAATGGAGAATATTTGAACTTATTAAAACAAAACCTATAAGATAAGATGTTCTCTGATTTTCAAAGTTGATTGAGAAGTTCAAACTATAGCCAGTAAATGGAAGGACTAGAAGGTCAGTATTTCCTAATGATTGTAGGTGAGCTCATTTGCAATATGCGTCCTCAGCAGGTAGAGAATTCCAATCCTGAACAGGAACTATTTGGACACTAGATATAGATTAGATTCAGCAACTCTTTCCTTTCAACTCAGTAGTCCTATCATTTTAATTTATCAATTCATCTCTGCAAAGGAATATTGGTTCTAGGTGATTTCTAAATCTAGGTTAAAATTGTGATTTATTCTTTCTCTCGTTTATGGCATCCTCTTTATTTTAAGGTACAACTGTAACCGCTATAATGAGGACGATGCAAAGGCAGCAAGAGATGCACAGGAGGTAAGTATATCCATTTTCTAGGAGCACATCGTACGTTAGCAGAAGTGTTCGGTTCTGAATGATTTGAGAAAAGATACCTAATAAATACTGGCTGTTTACATTTAGAAAGGGGATTCACCCAAAATACTTACTTAGGTGTAAATATCAGGGTGTCTACGGGTTCTCTATCATTTAGGTATAACACATTTATACCTAAGAATGTAACTTAATTGAATAAAATGATTTCTATTAATCTCTATTAATCTAAAGCTTCATCTTATTGAGAATAACTTGTCTATTAAAGTGATTGAAGATACTGTGACATTACATGTCAAGCATATAGTAAGCACGTAATAAAAAAGCATTCTTAGGTGTAAATGTGTTAGCTTTCCTTTAATCAAGTCATTTTGTACAACTTCAGGTTTCAGTAGTGTCTTGCGGTCAGGTACTGGGATTTTTTTTCCCATGCAAAGAAAATATCATTTGTTTAAAAGCCCTGTTGCTTTTAAATTTTTATACTATATTATTCATCAAGAACTTTTTTTCAGATGGTTTTTCTAATCTGTGTGTGCAACATGCTGTGCATTGTTTAACTTAAATTTTTAAAAAATATTTGTGTTGAGATAAAACTTAGACTGCATAGAATTCAGTGTTTTAAATGTCTTTTTAAAGTGTGCATCATCGCCAATTTTAGGACCTTGTTTTCATTCTTGTACTCCTTAGCTCCATTTCCCCCAAACTCGCCTACAATAGCTCTAAGAAACTATTAATAATACCATCCCCACTCCACCCCCCAAAATAGCAAAATAAAACTAAAAAGCTTCAATCCAAAAGAAAGCAGAATTCATAAAAAATGAAGACAAAATTTAAATGGGTCAAAAGGCAGAACAAATGCTAAGGTGTTAAATTTTAACTTAACTGCATCTGCATTAATGTACTTTTCCATGTACTCTGTGTGATAACCAAGGCTCTACACACCCCTGGTCAGTAGTCAGAGGGGATTCACGGGAGGCTGAATCCACGTGGGAACTCTGCAAATGGATTTTGGGCTTCCACTGTTAGCCATAATTTTCTGCAAACCATGTGCTCAGAACTTAAGCTCTAATACAATTCCCTCCTCTGTCTTAGATTTTATTATTTACAGTCCTTGGATCACACACACTGGTGTCAATATTCCATGTGGATTTAGCTGACACCTCACTCAGATGACTGCTTGTTTAAATCAAACCGTTAAGACCCCAGACACTATTACTTCACCACATTTTACTATAGAACCCATATCTTCGGTGATCTTTTCATGAGGGCAAGTATTGAGTAGGGCCACAACCTAAGAACTAATTAATCTTAAATTAGGACTTACAATTAAGTTCAAACTCAAAATTCATTCCTATATCTATGGTTTATATATGTACCTGATCCATTTTAGAGACCTCATTACCCTTTTATTGAGGAATATTTAAAATAATCCTCATGAGGCATGGTAATTACTAGTATCGTTAATTTAGCCAGTAATCTAGAGTTTAAATTACAATTGGGAAAAGGAAAGTATTTCACTTCAATTTGCTACAGACACATTTAAAGTTAAGTCCAATTGGATCCTTCTTGTGTGGCATATCTCAAAATAGCACCCAGTCTGGGTCCCAGGGTCTAGATTAAACACTCATTCAAAAGTGCCTGATTAGGAACCATATACAGGACATATTCTCCCATTGGGAGTCTATCTAAGTAATGTTCAGCATTTTTACCAATAGCAGGTTGCCCTTCCTGGTTTACCCACCAACAGAACTGTAATAACCTTCTCTTGAGACAGGCATGCAACACACACCACCACCACCACCACCACCACCTCTGGGCTTGAGTTTCCATTAAGGTTCACTGTGTACTCTTGGGTCTCTATGAGTTGGAATCAACTCGATAGCAGTGAGGTTTGTTTTGTTTTGTTGCTCCCTTGTGGGTGTCTTGTTGATTTGAGGTGACTTAAGGAGTAATGTGACATGGCAGAAACAGATTGGTCTTCTCCCTTTCCCCCCAACTTGAGAAGCTGAGGCCTCCTCTGAAATGGAAGAGTGGGAGTGGCAATTGGATCATAAGCATTAGGTGGGCACACCCCCTCATTGCTTGGACTGGATTATAAATTTACATGACCTGACAACAGATGCTTGCCTTTGTCTTAGTGCTTATTCTTTTAGTAGTGGTCCTATACAGTATTTAATATTTATCTTTTTTCCATTGACTCCTTTCTCTCAGCATAATGGTTTCTAGGTCCATCCATGTCATAAGGTACTTTGTGGTTTCATACCTATTTTTTTAGGGTTACATAGAATTCCATTATATGTATGTATTAGAGTTTATCTATTCTTCTACTTATGGGTGTTTGGGCTGTTGCCAGCTTCTTGCTGTAGTGAACTGCTTAGATGAACATGGGAGAGCATATGTCTACTCATGTTGTGTCTCTTCTTTGAGGTATATGCCCAGCCAGAGGTATTGCTGCATCGAACAGGATTTGTTTGTGTTTTTTTAAATAATTAAGATCATTTTATTGGGGGCTTGTACAACTCTTACCACAATCCACGCATACAGCCATTGTGTGAAGCACTTTTGTACATTTCTTTCCCTCATCATTCTCAAAACATTTGCTTTCTAATTGAGTCCTTGGTATCAGCGCCTCATTTTCCCACTCCCTCCCTGACCCCCCCCCCCATGAACCCTTGATAATTTATAAATTATTATTATTTTGTCATATCTTACACTGTCCCACATCTCCCTTCACGCATTTTTCTGTTGTCCATCCCTCAGGGAGGGGTTATATTTAGATCTTTGTAATCTGTTCCCCCTTTCTACTCTACCTACCTTCTACCCTTCCCGTGTTGCCACTCTTACCACTGGTCCTGAGGGTTTCATCTGTCCTGGATTCCCAGTTCCCATCTGTAGCAGTGTCGTACAGGATGCCTGTTCTGTTGTTTTAGATAGCACCATAATGCTTTCCACAGTGAATGTGCAGTGTTTCACTTTTTAATGGTTCTTTATTTAAAATTTTATTTTCTAATAAAAATTCCATTAATACAAAAGAATGTCTATAACCTGGTCTATCATATTACTAGAAAGTTAGATGTTTCACTTTTCAAAAGACTGAATAGTGTATCTATAAACAATATTTGCGATCCTATTAAAAATGGTAATTTCCTATGTATTTAAGTGTTAATATAAATCATACTAGTTGAAGGAAAAGAAATTCCATCTAGTCAATTCCAACTTGTGGAGATGTTATATATGTCAAAGTAGAACTGTGCTCCATAAGGTTTGCAAAGGCTAATTTCTGAGAAGTGGATTGCCTGCCTTTTCTTGTAACACACCTCTGGGGGATTAGAAGCTCCAGGCTTTGGGTTAGCAGCTGAGTGCCTTATACTACCATACCCAGTAACTCTATAAATAAAGAGACCTGCACAACCAGTAAAATTCATTATTAATTTATTTAACAAATGTGTTGTTTGTGCAACTATTTTTAAATTACTGCTAATAGAATATTATATGACTGGGTTATTTTGAGTTTAATATACTATAGTGCTACGTAGAGGGCAGTGGAGTAAGATCTTAATTCAGAAATAAGCCAGTAAAAACTATTTTATCAATCATTAAAGATTCTCTCTCATGAGTGGGTAGTTGCTATCAGTTAAGAGACAGCTCAAAATGTAGACTTAGAAGTGCCTTCGTGATGATTCCTACGCTCACCAGTTTTCTACTCAGTTGTGGCACCTTCATTCCTATAGTACAGTGGTTCTCAACGTTCCTAATGCCATGACCCCTTAATACAGTCCTTGTGGTGACCCCCAACCATAAAATTATTTTCGTTGCCACTTTATAACTTAATTTTGCCACTGTTATGAATCTGGCGATGATGAAAGGGTCATTCACCACTCCCACCACCCCTTAAGAGGTCACGACCCACAGGTTGAGACCCGTTGCTATGGTTTATCATGATTTGATTTGATTTGATGTCTTCTCCTACCAAAGAGTCCTGGTAGAGCAACAGTTAAGTGCTTGGCCGCTAACTGAAAGGTTGGTGGTTCAAACTCATCGAGTGACTGTATGATAGAAAAGACCAGGCAGTTGTTCTCATAAAGATTATAAGCTAAGATAATGGGCCAGGGTGCAAGTAGAAAGCAGATGTTTTGAGAATGATGACGGCAACAAATGTACAAATATGCTTGACACATTGGATGTATGTATAGATTGTGATAAGAATTGTACGGCCCCCAATAAAATGATTTAAAGGAAAAAAAAAGATTATAAGCTAAATCTTCTGGGGGCAGTTTTACTCTATCACGTGGGGTTACAATGAATCAAATTTGACTCACAAGTACCTAACATACCATTCTCTTACCATTTATTTTTCTCATTAGTCTACCACAGTTAGCTGCTTGATGCCAGTTTTGTTCATTTCACACATGTAAGCCCTGAAATTAAATTTTGGTTCTCAGTTGTTAAGGAATTCATTCAGGTGATATTGAATGCTTGTTTGTTTTTCCTTTGTTGTTGTTGGTTGCCATGGAATCATTTCCCACTCATAGCGATCCTATGTATAACAGAACCAAACATTGCCTGGCCCTGCGTCATCCTTACAATTATTCTTATGTTTGAGCCCATTGTGGCAGCCAATGTACTGATCCACCTTGTTGAGGGCCTCCCCACTGCCCTGCCCCTCTACTTTACCAAGAGTGCCATCCTTCTCCAGAGAGTGGGGTCAGAAGTAAATGAGAGCAAGTCAGGAGCATTCTGCCTGAACTTCTTCCAAAACAGCGGTATTTGTTCTTTAGGCAGTCCATGATACTTGCAGTATTCTTCACCAGCACTGTGATTCAAATGCATCAATTCTTTTTCACTCTTTCTATTCAATGTCCAACTTTGATGTGCATGTGAGACAATTGAAAGTACTGTGACTTAGATCAGACCCACCTTAGTTCTCAAAGTAACATCCTTATATTTCAACACCTTAAAGGTGTCGTGTGTGGCAGATTTACCCAATGCACTGCATCATTTGATCTCTTGACAGCTGTTTCCATGAGTATTGATTGTGGATCAAAGCACAAGCAAATCTTTAACAACTTCTCTGTTTATCATGATATGTTCTATTGGTCCAGTTTGGGTTTTGTTTTGTTTTTTTTCTTACCACATTTTAAAATTCCACTCACTCCTTAGATCAGCTCAGTTGGCACTCCTAACAGGCCCTCATCTAGTGGTGTTTATATGTCACCTCACCTCATGTAATTTTGATAGGAAAGTTATGTCATAGCAGTGATACTTTTTCCAGCCTCCTGTTTAGACTAATTTCTGCTATTACATTTTTTACTTACCCCACGTTATCATTGCATCTCCTTCTGTTTTTTGGTTTTTACATTTTATCTCTTCCTCTTTAAGGGCTTTCTACTGTAGACCAGTATGATTGTCTTACATTCTACTGAAGAGGGCCATACATTCTCTAAAATCCTCTACTAATTTTGATGATATCTTTTTTTTGGGGGGGGGGGGCTACAGAGGAATCTTCCATTTATTTTATGCTGTTTTACAGTTTTTAAAATCACTTTGGCTAAAAAAAAATAATAATAATAACTTTGGTGGGCTTTTAGCTTTTATTTATTATGAATGAAAAGCACTATAGCCAGATGGGATATATGGTTATGTTTGGCCTCACCTGGTCCTCATTTGGGTGCTGGCGGAATCTTTCATCGAGACCTTCAGGTTGGGTGAGCACTGTGCATAACTTCCTAGCTGGTTCCTGATAAATGAGTTTTAGATGATTGATTATTAACTTTTTTTAAATTCACATCTGTTAGAAGAACTACAATCTTTTCTTACTGATCCCATGTGAATATGGGGGAAATTTTTCTTATCAGTGCCTTTGTTTCTTTCTTTGTTTTTGAAAGCCACACCTTCCAGAATGGAGAACATAATTAGATGTCTTTCTGTCCTTAACTTCTCTTCCCACCCCACTCCGTATTCTGGCCTAATGTTTACTGGAATTACTGATTTAAAATGAAAATGCTAGATGATGTGTTTGGAGCTTTGTACCTGATCTTTAATAAAACTAGTGATACTCTCTGTGCCTCAGAAAGCTATACTTACATTGCTGGCGTAACGTACTATGGCACAGTATAAACAGTAGTGGACTCCTGTATTTTTCTGTTTTCTAAACTAAGAGCCCACCTTTTCTGTCATTCTCTCAGCACCACTAACCTCTGCTTCTACCTCTTGTCAATCTAATAGCAGACTTTTGACAGTGTTCTAAGTAGCATTTTTTTTTTCTAAGTAGCATTTATTTACAAAAGCAGGCAGCAACTGAATTTGACTTGACAGTTTGTAATTGAGGTTTTTTCAAGTCTAACTCTGCTAAACTATAAATAAGGTCAACAGTTTGAAACCATCAGTCGTTCCTTGGGAAAACGATAAGGCTTTCTATTCCCATGAAGGTTTACAGTTTTAGAAACCCACAGGGGCAGTTCTACTATGTCCTGTGGGATCCCTATTTTCAGTCAACTCAGTAGCAATGGGTTTGGAGGAGTCTGCTGTCTCCCTCTCTCTCTCTCAATTTCTCTCTTTATTCCCTCATTCACTGCTTTTCTCAGTCTAGATTCGCAGACAATTGATTATAAAGGTAGTCCTTATGCAGTGATGGTATGGGTTTCCTTTTTGCCATGCTGAATTTTACAGATATATTAGTGTGAAACTTGCCTCTCTTTTTTTTTTTTTTGGAGAATTATTGATCTGATTAATTAAAAAGCCCTTTAGCATCTAACATTAATTTAGGTTTTCCTATTTACTTTGAGAATTTGACAGACTTAGAAATATTGGTACTTTTCAAGAAAATGCCATGTAGATTGTTTTCCATATAGGTTTTTGGATTTGGCATAATTTTCCTATGCGTAATGGGACTTTCTATTCCTATAAAGAGTTACCATTTCAGAAGCTCAAGGGGCAACTTCTACCTTGTCCACTTGGCATGAGTTGCTGTGAGTTGACATCACTCGATGGCAGTGACCTCTTTTTTGGAAGTCTTTGAAATAGCATGATTTGTGTTGTTGGGTTTTGTTTGTTTAAGGAGATTTCAGTGTTGAGTGATATGATTAAGGAATTATAAATTTCACCTGTCCCTCACTTAACAACCACCTCATTATCTGGATTTGCACGTTTATGACAAGAATTTTAAAAATTATCTAATTGCGTTGCTCAGTAATGATGTTCACAAGCATCCAAGTGTGAGATGTGAGTAATGCTGGCTGTGATGATTATGTGTCAACTTGCCTGGGCCTTGATTCTCAGTGTTTTGTCAGTTAGGGAATGATGCAGTTATCCATTATGTTATCTGATGTGGTCAGTTCTCCCATTTTTACATAACAGCCTTGTCTGTGGAAGCTAACTATGTCAACAAGAGAGGAGTGGGTGTGTTTCAGGTTTAATACTTGTAAGCAATAGACCAACAATAAAACAAGCCAGGCAGTATAGAGGAGGTAAAAGTCAAGAAAATATGTATAAATAGGGTATCTCTCAGAAATTATTTCATTTAGTAAACACTTGTTAATTATTTTCTGTGTATCAGGTACTAAAGATTATCTCTTTAACAGACTCTTCAATAATATATATGCATATATATTTCTTAAATAGTTTGGCTCAACTCAGGATCCACAAATTACATTTGATTAACATATCTCAACTCTTATGAATAGATTCTTGCTTCCATTTCTTACCTTCGTCATTTATTTGGTGAAGACATTTGATAATTTTTTTCTTATAAAATATTTCCTATTGTAGATTTTGCTGATTGCAACTCCATGATATTGTTAAAATGAGTTATTTTATTCTTATATTTCTTGAAACTGGTGGTTAATTCTAGAAATTGGATCAAATTTAGATTGAATTTCGGGGGTGGAGGCACAGAAAATTAACCATTAGTACTGTTTGCTCATTGTGTACTTTATGTCATATTTCATGTTTAAAACGGTGCTCTATCCAATGCCTTGGAGCCCTGGTAGTTTAGTAGTTACACATTGGGCTGCCATCCGCATGGTGGGCAGTTCAAAACCTCCAGCAGCTCTGTAGGAGAAAGACTGGGCTTTCTATTCCCATAAACAATTACAGTCTCAGAAACCCACAAGGGGCTTGCTCCCTATATGAGTCAACATTGACTCAATGGCAGTAAATTTGTTTGTTTTTACATCCATTGTCACAGTGGAAATGTTCTAACCATTGTCCGTGGTTTAGTTGCTACTGAAGAAATGAATTTTCAATTTTAAGCAAAAGGAAATGGTCCATGTGCTGAGTGTCTACTATATTGGAAAGCACATCTACAGAACAGTTAACACAGTATTAAATAACAAAACAGCAATAGTTTGTTCTAAAATTACATTTTAGATTACGTTCTTAAACCCTTTCTTTTTTCCTATACTTTTTCATCATTAAATATGATAACAGCTTTTGTGTATAATGTATTTATTTTTTTCTTAATGGAACAGCGATCTAGGGCAGCCCTTCAGAGGTACCTGTTCTACTGTAATCGCTATATGAACCACATGCAGAGTCTACGCTTTGAGCACAAATTGTATGCCCAGGTGAAGCAGAAAATGGAGGAGATGCAACAGCACAACATGTCCTGGATTGAGGTGCAGTTCCTGAAGAAAGCAGTTGATGTCCTCTGCCAGTGTCGTGCCACACTCATGTACACTTATGTCTTCGCCTTCTACCTCAAAAAGAATAACCAGTCTATTATCTTTGAGGTAGGTATAGGTCTGGTGGAAGACACACAGCAGGTAAAAGCTCATCCTGTCTCATAGAATCTACTTGGTCTTTCATTGGAAAATACACAGTTGAAACTTGAACCTGTACGAGGATTAGGGATTCCAGCCTCTTACATAGCTAAAAATCTGCTTATAATTTAGTTGACCTTTGAACAGTACAGTTTGAACTCCACGGGCCTACTTATATGTGGATTACACACACACACACACACACACACACACACCCGCCATTGTTACTATTAGTAAACTCAAGGATTTCAGGTGTCCATGTAAGACTCTGTGTGGCTCGAATTATCTCCATCTGAACAATAGACCAAAAAAATGCATGCATAAATAGGCCCCAGAAGTTCAAACTATATATTGTTGAAGGATCAACTGTGAGATTTTAAAGGTTTCTTTGCCTACTTGGAATACATTAGTAGACACAATATTTTCTCAAAAGGTACAGGAAGGAAGTTTAAATTTTCTGTCTAAAATTTCATTTAAATTGATATGGCTCAGCTAGCTAGCAATTAAGTGCTCTGGATTTGAATCTCGACTTTATCACTTTTATAAACTCTCTTGACTTGGAGCAAATTATTTTAACATCTATTTCTGCTTTTAAATGAGAGTAAGTAGAGAATAATAACCTGATGAAAAAATAAAATCCCACTTCTCAAACCATTGCAATCTATTAATTCAATTCAACTGCATGTGTGGTACATCTTCCTCTAATACTAATGACCTGGATCTAGGTCATATCTCAAAGGACAAAGGGCACAATTGTCCAGACACCCAAGTCTGCACAATTTCAAGTGCCAGCCTTATGCTTGAGGTTGCTATAGCATCCTTACTTCTAACCAAAGGCTTCCAATACTCCTTGGAGTTCAGTCATTTCCTAAAACAACTCACAGAACTTAAGAAAGTTCCGCAAGGGGGCTTTAAAATGTTGTGAGAAAACAATCTGACTGGCTCCAAACAGAACCTGGGAGTGTGACTGGCCAAGGTTCCTAAATACCCATTTGTCTTGCACGGTGTTAGAGGGCAAACTTTAACAGTATTTACTAAGAACTCATCAAATAAACTTTCTCTTTTTTAAAAATCATTTTACTGGAGGCTAGTAACAACTCTTATCACAAACCATACATCCAATCCATTGTGTCAGGCACATGTGAACATTTGTTGCCCTCATCAAAGAAAACATCTTTTTATTCCAAGCACATTTGTACATTTATTGTCCTCATCATTCTCAAAACATTTGCTTTCTACTTGAGCCCTTGGTATCAGCGCCTCATTTTCCCCCTCCCTTCCCGCCCATGAAGGAATAGTGTTTAAGAGAGCTGAATGCCAACCTGCTACATGAGATGAAAGAGATAGCAAATAGAAGAATGTTTCAAGCCTGTTTTAACCATCAGCACAACATTGAATATGAGAGGAAAAAGAAGATGGAAAGTGAGTTCCAGTGGATTAACAAAACAGCGTGTGGTCCACCTGAAGGAAGTCTTAGCCGAAGCCAGAATACAGACATCAAGTCGAAGAGAAGAGTGATTCAGAAGCCTTCCCGGAACACTGACGGAGCAGCTAAGACCTCGGGGTGCCGACACTTGGGCTCCATCTGTTAATAGGGGCTAAATAATTGGTTCCCTAACTTGTCTGGCCAGATTTTTTTAAGCCAATACTTAAAAAGTTTCCAAAGAGTTTTTTTGAGAAGAATAAATTTACTTATAGACTTGTATTAAACCAAATTATTTGTGATGCTGATAGAAGTTAGAGGGTTAAGAGCGAGTTTCTTTTGAAGTATTTACTCTTGAGCTGTAAAATTAGCGACTGTCTTCTAAGTGGAAACCCCCAGTCGTGAGAGAATACAGATCTGGAAGAGAGGCGTCTGAGAGCAAAATGGCCAACTCACAAGGAATAAAGAATAGATCTTCCTAGTTCTCAGCTTAAATCATTATGATCCATTCCATGGGAGGAAAATGAGGTTATCTGCTCCTATAAAGATTAATAGCCTTGAAAGCCCCTGTATAGAATCAGCTCCAGGGCAGGGATATCTGGTTTTGACTTGGTTTAGCTTAAAAGACCACAAAGAAATCATTGGGCAATCTGTGAAGGTTCCCAATGTGGAACTTCCATTTCCTAAAATAGGTGTTACCATCCTATGTGTACCAATGTCTTTTACCAACCAGGAAGCTCGTGGCACTGCCGTTTTTTATAGCCTCCTTTGTCCTCATTATGTGAAGTAACTACAATATCATTCTACGTTGAACCGAGACAATTCATTCAAATTGCTTACACAACACTAATAAATCCTCAATAAAAGCTGTCATTAGTCAAAACAAATCTATAGTATTTAAAAGTTAATATGGCGGTTACTCTTGATGGAAAAATAGTGACAAAAGAGGTGATATGCTAGTAATTCTCTTTGTTGATCTGAGTGAGCATTATGGGGATTAAATTCTTTGACTTGTGTATTTTTTATTTGTATACTTTTGGGTATGTATCTCACTTCATTGAAAGGTTAACTGTTGTTAGTAAAGGATTTTCAAATAAAGATGTTCTGTAAAATTAATGCATGACACATTGATATAGGTAATGAACCAAAAAAAATTGACTAGCAAGTAGGAGTAGGATTTTTAAAAAAATTCATTTTCTCGTATGTGTGGGTAGAAGTAAGCAAAAATAAGGTGGAAAGAGGGAACCGATTACAAGGAACTCTGCGACCTCCTCCCTGGGGGACGGACAACAGAAAAATGGGTGAAGGGAGACATCGGACAGGGCAAGATATGACAAAATAATAATTTCTAAATTATCAAGGGCTCATGAGGGGGGACGGATCGGGGAGGGAAGGGAAAAATGAGGACCTAATGCTGGGGGCTTAAGTGGAGAGGAAATGTTTTGAGAATGATGAGGGCAATGAATGTACAAATGTGTTTTACACAATTGATGTATGTATGGATTGTGATAAGAGTTGTATGAGCCCCTAATAAAATGATTTTTAAAAAATAAGGTGACTTTTTTTCCCCCTCAAGGTATTCTTTGAGTTTTTAACACAAGCAACTTTTCAGAAATGGGAGTTTCCAAGAGATTTTCTTAAATACTTTACAATTTAAAAAAATATTCATCCCAGGATCGTGGGTGAATCTATAATTCTTTTAACATTTGAAAATGTGTTTTTGAGAACAGAAAATAAGTTGTTAGAGCTTAAAACAAGGAGCTTTTGCAGATGCAGTTAAATCATCTTTGACAATTAAGGAATCACAGCAGTAGCCTAGCTCAGAACTAAAAGGTTTTTGTTTTTTTTTAGCTTTCTCTGAAAACAAAACATTGCAGTATCTTTTTCCTCCTACAGAATAACCAGGCAGATCTAGAGAATGCCACAGAGGTGCTTTCGGGGTACCTGGAACGAGATATTTCCCAAGATTCTCTGCAGGATATAAAGCAAAAGGTTCAAGATAAGTACAGGTGAGTTTGTTTCATTTGCTTTTAATAGCTGTTGAGCAAAAGTTTGTGCAGTGGTACTGTACTATGTCTTGGTGATGAAGTTAGGTGATAGTGAGGCTGGGCTGAGCATATTCAACAAATGAGCTGCTGCCATGTTTCTTGCAGATTGCTTCTGTCCATTGGGCAGAGAATTGCAGCTAGTAGTGCTGATCAAGCATAGAGGAAATCCGCCTTTTACCCCACCAGCAATATGATTCTGCTGCATCTGTTCAGCTGTATGTACTTAGTTGCTGCCCTACAAGGAAGAAAGATCCTAAATGGGCAAGTGGCTATTAGGATGAGGGGTGAGAATAGGATGCTGCTCCAAACATGGGGATTCTGTGGGTCACAACTATTGACAACTGATTTACCCAAACTCATTCTTTAGAATTTTAATTAAATTTATTATTTCTAAGGAGAGAATTACTTTGCTGAGGGTTGATAAGCCACTTCTTAAGCTAAAGTTTGATTTTAGCAAATGTTTGATTTCTCAGCATAAAGTTTGTCCCCTCCTCCCCCTAAGTTTTTTCTTTTAATCATTAAATAAAATAACTGAAGGAAACCTGAGGAAATTGGAAGACTTGGAGATTTAGGCCCTAACTAATATTATCACTTATTTAGTAAACTATATCTAATTACCTTGTATTTATAGTGCTTTTATGGAGTACAAATATTTTTCAGATGCAAATAGGTAACCCTTGACATTACTTCTTTCTGATGTGATTTACTCTGTAAACTGTCTATAGAATGGTGAGGTTGAATTGTGGATGGTTTTCAAGTTCTTTACGGACTTTTAGTGTTGCTATAAAATTAGTAACCCAGGGCTATGTATCATGGCTGTACAGAAAATACTGTTTTAATATTAGAAACAATTTATGTACCTATATACATAGATCCACAAATGGGCCTGTTAAAAACCAGATGCATAGTTCTATAACAATGCCTTTAAAAATAAGTAAATATTATTTTATTAGTGGAGACTGACCAGTTTTATTTTTGTCTTTAATTACAGATACTGTGAGAGTCGACGACGGGTTTTGTTACAGCATGTGCATGAAGGCTATGAGAAAGATCTGTGGGAGTACATTGAGGACTGAGAATGGCCCTGCATAAAATGAACTATGAAAACTTTACCATCTAGAGTGCTCATGCAATTAAAACAAACAAAACAAACACAAACAAGGAGGCAGTAAGCCTCTTCTGACACCGATGGTCTGTAGTACCGGAATTCTGTTTTGTTAACAGGAAGTTTAAGTAAATTATATTGTAATAAAAAAAAGGTAGATATAAACCATTGTACAACAGTATTCTAGGCCGCCAACAAGTGTGACAGACACACTTAAAAGCCCTCCAACTTTAACTTGTAACGTAGCTTCATTCTCAAAGCTGACTTCTTTTTCCTGAGTGTAGTACAGTTAAAATTCAAAACAGCTCTTTGACACTGCTTTTCACGTCCAAACCATTCATTTTGTTGTACTTTGGTAAAGAATTTCTTCTCTTCCCTCCCTGACACATACAAGTACACCCACACACAGACTGTCATACCCCAAGGTCCCAAGTGAACGATGAGTAGCTCCTTGTAAAGAAAATTCTTGGGGCAGGGAAGGGTAGTAGCAGGAGGATTAGACAAAAACACACAAAAAAACTTTGTATATGACTTTTAAAACAAGAGGACAACACAGTATTTTTCAAAATTGTATATAGCGCATATGCATGGACAAAGCAAGCGTGGCACGTGTTTGCATAATGTTTAATTACAAAAATATTTATTCTTTAAAAATCTTCAAGATTATGTCTATTTGCTGTGCTTTTTCTTTGAGTTTGCTTTCTATTTCTAGGGTGGGGTAACAAGTATGTTGGTTTAGCTCCTCTGGAAGCCCTAACCCGGACTCTCTGCTCCCCTTTTCCGCTCCTGAGGTTACTGTGCCCTTTCTGGTTTGGTTATGTCTGTTACTGGTCAGGGCCTCATACCTGGCATTCTCAGCTCCTGATTGGGTACAAAACAAATGTATTAGAGGCTGAGTTTTGACGAAATGCCATGGCCTGAAAAGGGCTGCAGTGGGGAACTTTGTTGCTGTCGTTGAAGATGACCCCAGCCCCACTCATCTCCCTCACCGTGGCCTCGTCCATCTCCCTATGCCTTTGTGTGTTCCTGTCATACGCACAGCTGAAGGCGTCCTAACCAACCATCGCATCCAGAGGAAGCATTTGACAGTTTACTTCCTTTCAGATTTTTCATTTTTAATTGCTGCTTTGAGCCTTTTAAGATTTTAGTTTTGGCTCTTCTTTTACCCTTTCTCCATGGTAGGGTGTCAAATAGAATGTTTTTGCTTTAAATATAAATAAATAGCCGTTCACTTAGTCTCAGATTGTGAATTTAAAATGGCAGATACTGAAATTGCGTGCGTGCGTGTGCGTGTGTGTGTGTGTGTGTGTGTGTGTGTGTTGCTGTGGGTTCAGTTTGATGGCAAAACACCTTTAGAACATGATATTCTCATCTAGTGCATTTAAATAGAAATCACCGAGTTTGCTTCTTTTCTATGGTCAGCAGGTAGGAGAATAATGCATATTAGCTGTGATGTCCATTTTTAAGAAATTTCTACTAAGCTATGTTAAAAGTAAAGGATGGTGGTGGTTTTATTAACTATATGCCTGTGTATGCCATTCTGGGTTACGGTATTTTTCAACAGGTCAGCACCCCTAAATCTCAGTTTTTCATGGGAGTGCAGAGTGAACTAGGCAATTAGATTAAGAGGTTTTAATATTAAATACCAATTTTGGCTGAGGACCTCTTTGTCTTCCTTGAAATGTCTTGCGCCCAGGGGAGTGTTTACCATTTGTGAGGCAGCTGTGTCTGCTCTTGCACTGTACATCTTATTACTCCATTGGGAAGTGGGTACACTTTCCTCTGGCCTTTTGCCTAAGTTAGGCTTTGCTGAATCAACCCTACTTTTCCTTTTAGAAAAGGTTGTTACATGAGATGTACTTGCAACTGTTCTTTTCCCATCCAGAATCAGTGAATGTTTGCGGAATATATTATGCTGCTTCCTTAAACCACTTGTCGCTTTAGGATCAACTTGACCTGTGCCGTTCTCCTCACCTCCCTTGCCACCTCAGGTGTAAATCTGAACTCAGCGTTCGCTTCCTCCATTTTCTCTTCTCCCTTTCCCCGTCATCCAGCTGACTCTACTTTAAATGACTGCATCAATCTTAAATACATTTATCAAAACAGATTTTTTTAATTATTATTATTAGAAAGCTTGAATAAGTTCCTTTCCCTGGTAACTTTGAAAAGCAGCCAGAGTTGCTTCAGAGATGTATGTGGCTCCTTTAACATGCTTTGTGTATGTTGTGTTCTTTTAAAACCTTACCAGTTAAACTTTGCAGTATCTAGGTTTAAGTGTCATAAATCCTCTTCTCATGCTCCCCTTGCACCAACTATCCACGATAGTTTGTGCAGTTCGGGATGCCAGCCCCCATGGAGGGACAGTGCTGTTAGAGATAATTTCTAGTTTCGGTGTTGGCGTACTACCTGAGAATATTGTAATTGTGGGTGTATTCTCTAATTTGGATCAGGGTGAACTGGCCTTTTCTACTCTGAGGCTTTTAATAGCTATCTCCATATTTGAAGAAAAAAAAATCCCCACATTAACTGCTTTCATTGTAAGTAGCTCTGATGCCCCAAACTGGGATAGGCAAGCCATATTATATTGACAGCTTCCCTATTTCACCTACCTAAGTCTTGCTATCAGAGGGCTCTTCACCATAAGCATCAGGGATTCCCTGTCTTCTTGAGAGCAGTTACATTGTCTTTTGAAAAGTGCATGCTTTGTTTATTTGGACAGTTCATGAAGCAGAGATGGACTTTCAACAATCTACAATAAAATTTTGATTCGAAGCTCAGGACACAAACCACAGTGATAAATTTGATTAGCACAGAGTATCATCAGGCTCTAAATTCTGTGTAATTTTCTGACCCAGATTGTATGTGTTTTTATGTGTGTTTAAATAAAAATTATTAAATACACACGTGTATACATACGTAAGTATACAACAGATCCAAGACTGATTGACTTGATTTGAAACAGTTGAATGGCAGTGTAAAATGTGGTTTAGCCATGGTTAGAAATTGAAATTTAGTACCAAGAAAGTAATGGACTTGATGTAACAGATTCTGTTAGTTGGAAATCCTGGTATAGAGCACTTGGGGGTTGGGAGGGGGCGGGTTGGTGAGACAATCAGATTGGTAAATTGATTAAATGCTCCTAACCCTGTAATTTTGTGCATAGAGCACCCTGTGCTGTGGAAATAACTGTTCTTAGATTTTCATTGTAACTGGACTGTTCAGGTTGCCCAGAGGGAAAGAACATTCCTAATTCTAATAAAATAAACTTTTATTTTGTTATTCCATTAGTTACTTATGTTTATTTTAATAGTTAAAAAGGGGAGAGAAAAAAGACATTGGTGGCCTGACAACCACCTTGTATTACGTGCCTTATTCACCATCCCTACTTAATATAAAATGTCAAGATTTGGTTCCATTTCTTTGCAGGGAACTGTGAAATGACAACATCCCCTACAATTCACTCAGTTACCATAACCTTCCATTGTCTGCCTGGAACATTGATTAAGATATCCATCATATTGTAAGGACAATGGCATATGAGATACATGCTCAGTTGATTTTTGAATACTAATATTTTCCCCTCAGATAAAATATTGTCAGTTAACTGCAGAACGCCTCCCCAGTAACTTGTACTGTTCTCATCCTTAGAAGTGGATAAAGAGATGGAGAGTTGTCTTCTTAAAGAAGGCACCAGAGTTGGGGATAGTTGTCCTTGACATTCTCTCCCAGATTAGATTTAGTACAGTATACTTTGTTATTATTTAGATCTGTAATTATGGGTGTTTATCACTTTTCATCTTCGATGCACTTTAACTTACACTACCCTCTAAGTAGATGGAGTAAAATTTGCTCTGCTCTACAAAAGAGGAAAAGAGGCTCAATTTAGACTCTCTCACTGACTCACTCACTCACTGACTCACTCACTCACTGTCTCACTCTCTCACTGACTCACTCTCACTGTCTCACTCACACACATACACACACAAAAGGCTCAATTTAATTTACCCAAGATTACAGTGTCTGTAGCTTGGACTCAATATATCTTACTGCTTGATGCGTCCATGTCTCCTCATATTTGGATTTTGATACCAGAAAAGGTCCTTAACTATGGTTTTGTGCTTTTAAAGTGCTTCAAAGACTATATCCTTTTCCTTGTCTTAAAGCAGCGTTATGTACTATCTCCATTCTTCAACTTCTCTTAGAGTCAACTATTTATGTGGCTGTGTTTGTCTAATTGTTAGGAACCAGATTAGGAAAGCGGCCCTTTACATTTTGCAGACCCCATGTAAAATGTTGAGCATGATTTGGTGTGATAAACAGTGCCTGAGCACTTTGCATTTATTGATCTAGTTTTTTTGTAAAAATTAAAATCTCCATGTAAAGGATTTTGGGTAGTATGCAGGAATCTGTTAAGGGTCTTGTTCGTAACTGAAAATGTGGCTGAACAGCCCATATACTTCTGTCTCCCATTTAAAAAAAAAAAAACAACCGTTTATTGGGGACTCTTAATTACAGTTCTTATAACAATCCAAACATACATCCATTGCGCCAAGCACATTTGTACATAAGTTGGCATCATTTTTTTAAAAACATTCTCTATTTGAGCCTTGGTATCAGCTCCTTGGTTTCTCCCTCCCCCATGTCTGTTTCTTTTTGAAACTAATGACCAACCTCTAAATTAAAATTTTGGTTTCTGTGTGGTTAAATTCAGCTTTTATGGCAATTGTTGATTTTTCTCTAGACAGTAGTATTTGGATAAGCAAATTTAACATGGAATTCTTTAGAAAATCTGAACAGTAGAGGTGTTTATTTAGGGCCATTTTTAGAGTAGGAATCAGTAAGTGAATTAATCACACATTGATAGCACTTCTCGGTACCAAAATTAGAGAATCCATTCTAATTCTTGCTGACCCGATGCCCGTGTGTGCCAGAATAGACTGTGTCCCATAGGGCTCTCAATTCAAAAGTAGATAAGCCTTTCTTTCAAGGCTCCTCTGAGTGGACTCAAAACTTAATATAAGGTAGAACTGCCCCCTGTGGGTGTCATAGACAAACTATAGGAGTAGAAAGCCCTTATTTTTCTCTGGCAGAGCAGCTGGTGGTTTTGAACTCCCAATCTTTTGGTTACTAGCCCAACGCATAACCACTACGCACTGTTACTCCGAAAGTAATCTAGCAGCCTGTCCGTAAGAGTCAGCTAGGGAAAAAAAAGTCAGCTTTAAAAATTTTTGAATTAACATGCTCTGAGAGAAACCTGTGAAATCGTGAATTCCCTCAGTTTTGAAATGTTGATTATTTCTTGACTATGGTCAAAGAACCACTTCCTACTTTCTTTAAGAAGGCTTCAGGAAGTTTGTGGGAAAGATAATAGAATTTCAAAGTAATATTTTTCCAGAACTTTTATTAACCTTGGCAGAGGGTCTCATTGGTAGGTGTAAGCCCTGTCTGAGACAATAGCTATGAGTCAGAATCAACTCAGTGCCCGTGAGTTTGAGTTTAAGACTCAAGAGTCCACCTTGGAGCAAAGAATACACTAAGCCAAAAACCAGTTCTTGAGAAATGGAACTGAGGACCTAATGCCGGGGGTTTAAGTGGAGAGAAAATGTTTTGAGAATGATGAGGGCAATGAATGTTCAAATGCGCTTTGCACAATTGATGTGTGAATGGATTGTGATAAGAGTTGTATGAGCCCCTAATAAAATGATTTAAAAAAAAAAGAATAAAAGACAACCACGGTTAAAAAAAAAATTTATCATGAGGGAGGGAAAAATGAGGGTCTGATACCAAGGGCTCAAGTAGGAAGAAAATGTTTTTAAGATGATGATGGCAACATATGTACAAATGTGCTTGACATAATGTATGTATGTATTGTGATAAGAGCTGTATGAGCCCCCAATAAAACATTTTTTAAAAAATGGAACTGAAAAATGAAAGTATTCATGTCAGTTGGCAATACATCTCTTTCTAAAAGGGAAATTATCAGAATGCAAATCAGTGGAGCCAGAAAGAAGTTGAATGCTTATAATGTGCATTCAAACTAATACATGCTTCCACTTAATCATGGTGAGTTGAAGTTATAACAAAACTTAACCATTTTCTTTTCATTTCATTCTTTGGTATTCTTGTAACACTTTTCCCATTTTTATCCCTCAAGTGTAGTGGAAAGATCAGTATTTCTCAGTTTCCCCTTTTGTAAAATAAGAATACTAATAGTAGCCATAAATTTTGAAGAATTTCTTCCAGTGCTCGATTACCCATGTTGCCTAAGCAGCCCTAACAGAAAGGTGCATTACTGGCCTGTTTTGTAACAGGCGCACAGATTGTTGCTCAAAAGTTACAGTGAGTTTATGGCAGGATTATGTTTGTCTGTCTTTATGTGTTCATTCTGTTAGATTATCTACCTTTGTTATAGAAATATAAGGATTAAAAAAATGAACATTTTCCCAAACCTAGTTACCAAGTAATAGTGCTAAATTGGCAGCAGGGGGGAACCCACAAAACTCCTCCAGCTTGTCTTGTAGGTTCTCAAAGATTGGCCCCAAGAACATTGAGGCTGGCAGGGTCTGTGCCATCTGCATGTCCACATTAGTCTCTATAAAGTAGCCTCGGTTTTTTTCTGACAGCTACTCAGTAGCTTCCAAGTGTGACATTGTATCAATGGTTTCAGACAGACAATGCGAGGGCCAAGGGGTAGGGTAATTAGTATAAATTTGACTTGGTTGCTTACCCTAGTGGATTGGGGGACAAGGGATGGAGAATGAGCCACAAATCTAGGAAATCCTGTTCAGCTGGGCATACATTATAGAAGGTATCTACAGTAAAACAAGGTATTACAGTGCCCTGCAAGTTTTTTCTTTTTAGGAAATAGGGAATTCGTACAGAAGAAAATAGTTTTGACTGTGTACTAAGCAGTTCATGTGCATTATCACTTAAACTCAAGAATCTTATTAAATGGTTTACTACTCTCCTCTAACAATTGGAGCTCATAGAAAGTGAATAACTTTCCTTCAGCAAGTCTTGGAATGAAGATTCAGACCTAGAATCATTCAACTCCAATGGTGCCAGGCAGAGTTCCAGGCACTAGCCGATGAACAAAGGATCTGTTGGTTGATCGAAAACTCTCGACTGCAGTTCTACATGGGTATTGGATGGATTACCCAGTCACCCAAGCAGTGATTGGCAGAGCTGGAGCCATAGCTTGACCTTTAGTACTGTATTCTTTTCAACCACCCTGTAGTTGCTTCTCAGACAGCTTTGCCAACAGCACCTGCCGAAGTTATGTAGATTGGGGAACTTCCAGCCTTAGATTGCCCTGGAGACTTGATGACTAATATTTTTGTCTCTGTTCAAAACAGGTGCCACTCATTAGCCTCACTTGACTACAGAGAAGGACCTAAAGTATGTCCTCCTCTCTCCTGTAAGAGCCACTGTGGCATTTTAATGAATAAGCCTCATATTACGGAAACCTCTTGAGAAGGCCTGTCTGATTATATGACGATCTTAGTGACTTCATGTGCATAAAGCAACATTTTCTGATATGAATGTCTTGCTTGGCACCTATCTCCTTCACTGAATAGCCCTGTATAAAAAGTTTGGTACTTCAGGTGGCCTGCATTTCACCATGGAGTTTCCAAGCTTTCCGGGTAGGAACTTGGAAGGTGATTATAGATAACGTGACACTGCAGTGCCTTATCCAAGTATTAATTGCCATCGATCTTATGCCAATGCATTGCAGCCCTGTATGACGGTAGAACTGCTCCCTTTGGGCTTCTGAGACTAAATCTTTAGAGGTGCATAAAGCCTTCTTTCTCCCATGGGGAGGGTTGTGGGTTCGAACTGCTGGCCTTTCTGAACTACAGTACCCCCAGGGCTCTTTGTGGTTCCCTATAATAGTAGCCTGTTAATTCTCCAGAAAGTTCCTTCAGCTGAAAGCTTGTTTCTATAGATTTTATTTCCTTCTGGTGGCCTTTCCCCACCCCCACGCCCCTTCTCTCTCTCCTGTTTGGTTGATGACAAAGCAGTGTCCTAGAAACCCCACTTTAGTCCACATTAAACAGCTATTCTTAGAATTGTAAATCTGGAGCTTACGCAATGAAGAGCTGGTTCTCTGAAACCCATTGGCCAAGTGAGCTGTTTGAGGAGTGAGCAAACATGCACAGGCGTTTAGTTCTAGAGACCCTATTCAAAAACACTCCTTGTTGAATTTTCCAGTCATTTTTTTTTAACATTTTATTAGGGGCTCATACAACTGTTATCCCAATCCATACACACATCAATTG